AAGAACACGTTCAGCCCTCTGGACTCCTTGGGAAAACCCTTTCCTCTCTCACAGAACCCTGGAAATCCCAAGTAGGAAGGGCCCCCGCCAGCATCCCCCAGTCACTTTTTACCCCTCTAATGTGCTGATTTTGCCTCTTTTTCCCTCAGATCCCCAGCCTGGAGCGAAGAAGGCGGGTGCTGAGCCCTTCCTGAAACCACCTGCGGGCCCGAAGCGCCGCGGGACCCCCGGAGCGTCCGCCAGGAAGAGACCCCTGGGCACCCCCAGGCTGAGGCCGATCCCCCTCAGGAGCAGCCCCCGGAGGAAGGGGAGCAGCCCCGAGCAGGAGCAGAGCCTGAATTCCTTCAGTCTGTCCCCCATCGTCGCCACCCCCCGGGGCAAACGTCGCTCCTGGTGCCGCTCCAGCCTCAAGGGCAACAAGCGCCGCAAGTCCCTGCCCCCCGTGCACCAGGACATCACTGGTGGGTGCCCCACGGCCTCATAACTGGGTTATTCCTGATTAAAACCTGCCCAAATCCCCCTGGGAAGTGGCCTGGGAGGCCCAGGGGTCTGAGGTCAGTGGAGATGCTGCGCTGAGGCTTCTGCTCAGGAGGATTTTGCAGCTTCTGCTTTTTTATTCCCCAAGTCCTGATCCTTAAATGTGACTTTTCCTCTTTCTTTTTCCCCTTTTTCTTCCTTTCTTTTTCCCCTTTTTCTTCCTTTCTTTTTCCCCATTTTTCTCTCTTTCTTTCCCCCTTTTTTCTCCCTTTCTCTTTCCCCCTTTTCTCCCTTTCTTTCTCCCATTTTGCTCCCTTTCCCCTGCTCCTTCCGTATCCTGCACCCGCCATTCCTGTCCAACGACAGCTCTTGGGAACTTTTTGAGCTCGTCCCAACCCTTTTCTGTGAATTTAATCATTCCTAACCAACTTTATTCTGATTTTTCAGAGCTGAGCAAATCCATCAGCCTGGACCTGCCCGAGAGCGAGCGTCTCTTCACGCTCATCCTCTCCTGTTTCCAGGTATTTTTTTTTTCTTTTGAATGATTTATTTTCCCTTTTTCCCCCCAAATGCACGTGGGGTTTGCATCGCTGGCTCCTCAAACGGGGGGATTCCTTTCTCCTCCCACGAACTTCATTATAAATGGGGATAAAAGCTGACTTCCCTTTGTCAGGAGATGGGGATAAAAGCTGACCTTCCCTATTTTTCTTGGACAAACCCTGTTTTCTCCCCTTTTTTCCCCAGTTTACTGCCCGGAAGCTCGAGCAGGTCCTGAGGCGGAGGAAGGGATTCAGCCCCAAGGCTTTTGCTGCCAAGGGTGAGCTGGGACTGCTGCACCAGAAAGGGTCACTTCAGACTTAAAAACAGGGATCCTTCCCTGGGATCCCCTCACAGTTTAAGATCATCTGACTCCTGGAAGGGGTGGGCGCCCCAAAAATTTTGGGAATTAAGTTTTTTCCAGAGCAGGAAACGACCACGAACGGAGGCGCCGAGACAGGCGGCGACCTCGGGGGGTTGGTTATTCCCTCCTTAATCCCTTAAAACCAACGGAATCAAGAGCTTGGAATGGCTTCTGGGGAGGCTCAGGGCAGGGCCCGGGGGGTTCCTGGCTGTGCTGGTTTTCCAGAGGGGGGTTTGATCCCGGTTGTTCCCTGGTTTCCCCCCCAGTGCAGGCGGTGTCGGCGGAGCTGGAGCGGTTGGTGCAGAGGCTGGACCAGGACGGGACCCTCCGGGGCTGTGTGGAGGATCCCGAGGGGTGAGGGCTCATCCTGGGGGCAGGATCGGGTCGGATTTTAGGGAAAATCCTCCTGACATGGAGCCAACTCTCCCCCTGTGCTCCAGGAATTCCCTGGACTCGGCCCTGGATGAAGCCGTGGCCCAGGTGAAGCAGCACATGGCCAGGTAAGGGCTCACCTGCACCAGGTAAGGCCCACCTGCACCAGCAAAGGGAGGGGAGGCTATTCCTGGGGGGATTCCGGGGGTGTTTTCTCGGAGTGTAGAGGGAACAGCACCTGGAGTGCAAAGGAACACCTGGGACACACCTTGCACACACCTGGGGCACACCTGAGCACACATCTGGGGCACACACCTGGGCATGGAGGGCACACCAGGCACATACCTGGGCACACATCTGGGGCACACCTGGCACATAACTGGGCACACATCTGGGACACACCTGGGTCACCCCTGGGCATGGAGGGCACACCTGGCACATACCTGGGCACATGTCTGGGCACACCTGGGGCACACGTCTGGTCACACATCTAGGGCACACCTGGGCCCACCTGGGGCATACCTGGGCACACCTGTCCCCCCTGTGCCCCGCAGGTTCTCCGCCGAGCGCCGGGCCTGGGACCAGCTCCTGCAGCAGCACCAGGACAGTGCCCAGGAAGCCGCCAGGTGAGGGAGGGGCTGCCCCCCCCGGACACCAAACCCCCCAATCTGGGCCATTTTGGGCCATTTTGGGCCCTTTTTGCTCATCCCAAACCCCCCCGGGGGTCCCGCAGGCTCCTGGAGACCCTCCAGGCCGACCCCGCCGGGCCCCCCCCCGGCCCTGCCCAGCTCCCAGAGCGCCGTCCTGGGCTCCAAACCCGACTACTCCCACCTGCTCCTGGAGCAGGGCCCCGTGCTGCGCTCCGTGGAGCTCGTGGTGAGTCCGGCCCTGATCTTCTGGGGCAAAACCGTGCGGGTTTGGGGCATTTGGGGTCACTTTGGGCTCACTTGGGTGCCGTTGCCGGCGGTGTTTCCATAGCTGGACGAGCTGTGCCAGGCAGGGGCGCTCCTGACGGCCTTCAGCGAGGAGACCCGGCGCTGCCTGCGGGGCCTCTCGGAGCGCCTCGGTAAGAGGGACCCCCGGGGTGGGCGGGGGGGTCCGGGAACGGGGTTGGGGGTAACGGGGAATCTAACGGGGCTTTTCCCGTCCGTTCCAGGCTCCAGGACCTTCCGGCAGCTGGAGAACTCCCCGCTGTGCAGGCTGCTGGCTGCTCCGCCGCCGGACGGCTGAGGGACTGCGGGGGTCCCCGGTAATAAAGCTGGGGG